GAAATCAGAAGTCCGAAATCGGAAATCAGAAGTCGGAAATCAGAAGTCGGAAATCAGAAGTCCGAAATCGGAAGTCGGAAATCAGAAGTCGGAAATCAGAAGTCGGAAATCAGAAGTCCGAAATTGGAAGTCGGAAATCAGAAGTCGGAAATCAGAAGGCCCTTCTCGGCCATCGTAGTACAGAACAGACCCCGTCAGCTAGCTCCTCCTGAAAGTTTGTGTCTTTACAGCTAGGTCTAGATGAGTAACAGGAGTAAGCCACCTCTTGCACATCTGGATTCGTCTTTAGTGAATTTTGCGTTGCTACAGTTGACCCGACTCGCTTTTGCTTGTTTTATAACTAAGGTTAATAAGGTTAGGGGGGTCCGACGTTATTTCTAGTATAGCAGAGGGGGGTAAGAGCTATTTTCTTATGCTTCGGATGCGGGGTTCTGACTAATTTTCCCCTTGAAGAGAAATCTGGTCCCCCCCCCCCCCTCCTGATAATTATTACACAGTCCCTAAATATGGAGAAATTTGCCTTAAACATATTCAGTAGCTCAGCCTTCTGAGGATCTATAAGTTCAATACCATATACTTAAATACAGTGCTTACAAAAAGTTCTGCATTGACTTTTCTTGCTAGCTGAATCATTATTATTGTTGAGAGATTCACATCCAATGTCTCTTAAAGTACAGTTAGTGTTATCTGAAGCAAATCAAGATGATTCATGATCACTAAAAAAGTATACACACCTCAAACCAAAATAGAAAATAATTTAACAGTATTTTCTGTAATGGTATAGATCCATTACAGTCTAATATTACAGGCAATCCTATATCTAATTTATCCGTAATGATTTCTACTACACCTCTAAGATTGCAACCTACCACAGATTGATGGATTGTGTGAGCTATCAGGACAATGAAAAGTTTCATTATTACAAGTATCTAACCAATCTATACAAGTTCCTCCAACACACTGATACTTGTCTTTACATTCTGGGACTAAAAATGAAAAAAAGAAAAATGAACAAAGAATCTAAAATGTAAGAATAGTTAAATGAATTTCAGATATACTTATGAAAATCTACTGCCCGGTAGCTATGTATTTAAAAAAATAACAGGATGAATGTTAGAGATTTGTGATTGTTTATATTGTATATTGTTGAAATATTCCGATGGTTTTGCATTTTTATTTTCTTGTGTGCTTCTTGTGTATCTACAGGATTTATCATATTATTTAATATTTTGTATATAAACTACTACTTACAACAATGGATTTCATCGAAGCCATCTTTACAGTCTTTTGGCGGGCCATCACATAGTCGCTCACGAATTATACATTCTTTGCTTGAGCACAAGAACTGATTTGAGGGGCAGACGCAATCTTTTTCATCAGACTTATCAACGCAATCCTTATAGTCACCATTACACCTCACTTCTTTTTCTTTGCACTCTTTATTGTCGCATTGAAATTGATCGTCTTTGCATTTTAGTCCTTTCAAAACAAAAATGGCAAACGTTCAGCCGATCTCAACTAAAAATTAGACTAAACACAAACTCCTTGCTGGGATTAGTTTCGAAATTTAAGATCTTGAGATCCGGTGATTTGAATGGATACAGCTCTCTTTTTAGATCATTTCTTAATTAGTACACGTGCTCATATTGATATTTTTAAATAAGCATAATATGAAAAATATTGTACCTGGAGTTGCATAATATGGCAAGGTACTACATTTCTCCGTTATAATGTTTATAGATGCGACAGCAATGCTTGCATTTCCGTTGACATCACCTTTGCCATAAAGTTGTATCTAGAAATATTGTTGTGATAAGTCGGCTTGTTTCAGAAAAAAATAGGACAGGTTAAGGCTGTCTGATGAAATCTAAGTGATGTATTATAGAGTAGGTGGCTTGCTGGGTTCGGGTGTATTAGGTATACCTAGAACCCATTGATCTGGTGAAATGTAGAAGTTTGAATGTGCTGACCTTTTGCCTTGTTTCATTATGGAGTGGAACTGACCCTTGTTTCCATTCTGCTCCGTGATATCCAGTTGCGTTCCAAAGTATCTCCGCTTCACCATTTACAGTGACTTTTGACACAGACAACCAACTCTTGGACGTCGAATTCATCAGATATGACAATCTTAAACACAAACCAGTTTTCTTAAAGACAGGATGCCAGGGTAAAAGATCCGTCTCAAGCATCGCAGAGCATTTACCATCTATCACAATATAACCAATATCATCTATCGAATAAAAATAAAAAAGGGATTGTTTATGTTAATGAAACTCCGTACAAGTATCGCGAAACCCAAGCTGCTGGAGAGCACCTTTGCAACAGTGATTGCCATGCAACGGCACGGATCACAACACGGACACGGCACGGCACGGTCACGGAACCTCGGCTTCTATGCTAAAGATTTAACAATACATCACCGCTACGGCACGGTACGGTCACAGCGCGAAAGTGCCGTGATTTTTGCACAGATACGAAATTCGCTCTAACATACGTCGTACGTATTGCAAATTTTGCTGAGAAATGTTAACATTCATGTGATAGTAATAAAACAGTTACCTGTCTCGTGTCTTTTCCAGCAATTCCTAATGTTGGTTTTCACTTTCATCCAGCTGCAGATTCCGTCCACAAAATTGCATTCTTTAATGGTTGCAGCTACAAAAGTGAGGAGTAATGTAGTTATGATAATTGGGTTGCCTTATTCGAACAAAAAGATAAAAAATGAAATAATTGAGAATAATTGATTGAAGTAGCAGCGCCAGGCAGTAGAATGAATTTAGGTGGCCAGGAAAGGAAAAGCAGCTAGAGCGTAGGCAAATAAAGAAGTAAAGGAGAAGAATCGACAGGAGATGAGAAGGTTAGAGAGAGAAGGGCACAAAAGCAGGACAAAACAAGGGAGTACGGCAAAATGCTGTTTGTTACCTTTTTAGTTCGTTGTTTGAACTAGTGTTTTATAATATTTGATTATAACATAGTTATCAGCTGGGCTCGTTTGGATCATCCAAATTCGGCTCGTCCCTTCTGGGCTCGCCAGCAATCTTAAAGGTCAGCGGATAACTATAAAACTAACAAAACTACAAAAAACAAACTACAAAACAAAATGCCGGAAATGTTCGATGCTGTAAATCACTAGTTCAAACAACGAATTAAAAAGGTAACAAAAAGCATTTTGTCGTGTTCCCTTGAACAAAGGATAAACGGAAAAAGAAAAAACAGAAAAACAAGAGATAGTTGGGTAGTAGGGAAGGAAGAGGGTGATTAGCAGGGAGAAAGTTATCAGATAAACCAGAAAGGAAAGAGAGCAGGAGGTAGGAAAGTAGGTGTTAAGGAAAGGAAAGTGACTGGAAAGGGAGAAAACAGGAGACGACAGTAAGTAGAGAGAGCGCGGCCGGCAGGAGATAGATCAGGAAAAAAGAAGGCATGCAAGAAAGAAAGACGGCAAGAAACAGGAGATGAGGTTGTATAAGGAAACGAAAACCACGACGGAGGAAGTAAAAAGAAAAACAGGAGACGACAGGAAGAGAGAGAAAGTGGCAGGGGAGTCAAGATGTGTAAGGATATAATAATAATAATAATACTTTATTTTTACAAATACTATAAACACATATAAAGAGATTTAAAAAAGGTGAGTCAGAAAAGGAGAAGGGCAGAAAAATAAGAGGGCAGAAGTGCGCTCGAACAGGCCAGGAACTTACAACTAATTCTCATTTCTCCAACCTTCTTTGTACGCTCTGGAGGCTCGGATGAAGAATTGTAAGCTATCTAAAGAAATATGCAGTTCAGCTATTAAACTTTATATATATATATCCTCAATAATCTAGGACTACAATCTTGTGAGTTGCAAAACGAATGATTTGATTGTATCGTGTCTAAATGTAATACAACCCTTAGTGTAATAATAAACCCTAAATGTAATAACACTCGACAGAGAAACAGAAATAAACACATATAATGGCATTATATCACAAATATGAAGGTTGATAAATGCTAGACAAATGCTAACCTTTAGAGAATATAATCCAATGTCCAGATCATCTCTGACTTTCCACGTAAATGTTTGTTGAGTACAAGACATGTTATTGATAATTGTAATGGTTCTTTTTAACTCGGAATTGAATAAGTGCAATGGACAAGTGGAGCACGACGAGCATCTTGTGCCATCATAGCAATAATGATAGGAAACTGTGAAGTGTATTAAATAGTATGTATAGTATATGAAATAGTATATATAATATATAATAAAATAGTATAAGTATAGTTTACAACATGAGCGGCCGTGTTGTATGGGAATTACAATCTCGAGCCGCAGGCGAGAGATTGTAATTCCCATACAACACGGACGCGAATGTTGTAAACGACTTATAAAACTCCAACACAAATTAACATGAATTACAGTGAGATAAATGACGAAAAATGACAAATAAGGTAACTGCTGAGTTTAGTCCCTATTAAGCATGCGCAATTTACTGCAACACAGAACATTTTGAATAATTATCCATCCCACATGGAAAGCAAGCCATCTGTTGCATAAGCGAGTTSTGTTATCCGTCTTTGATTGCTTCAAAACCTAGTGAAGGTCTATGATGCGACACTAAAACTGAGACCTTTGCTAGTGTTGGGTTGTCTCAATGGTGACGACCGTGTTGTAAATCTGATACAACCACTAGTGGTTGTATCAGATTTACAAGGTCAATCACCTGATTAAATGGTCAGCCCTTATTGGAGCAATAGCTTATGCATTATTAATAAGTTTTATAATAGTATATAACTCAGTACAGAGATTTATCCAATTAACTACTGAATCGTAGCACTGTATCTTGATTTCTCTCTATATCTTTTTTGATTCCTACTTCTACACGAAAACGACATATATTTTAAGGGTTCAAAAAAAACCCAATTCCGAAAATTAATGATCTGCACTCATAACTCTGCACTTATCATTCCCAAATCTACTGATAGGAATCAATTTTAACATACAGACAATATTCTTACCAGAAATATTCACACTGACGCCAGCAGTAACTTCAAAACTGTCACTTCCGTTGAATGAAATAGAAAGCGTCCTCTTCACTATCGTAATATATATGAAAAACAAATGAGCATGTCATCAATAAATATCGCTCAATGCCCTGCAGTATTAATGATACCTACTGTACGTTGACAAAAGTTTTTCGAAGTGAATTCATATTTAAAAGGTAGAAGGTTTATCGTTACACGTTATCGTGACATTTTGAAAAGATTAGAATAACAAGCATTAAATAGTAATAGTCTGTTTCCTGCGCCATCTTGAAAGGTAGGCGTGCCTTTGCATCGAAACGAGATAATCGTTGAGCTTGCAATGATAGAAACATTCTTTCACACCTACAGACAATTGTTCTAATTGTTTGTATTCTACTAGCTCGTTGGTTTTGCTAATAGACCAATTCCGCATTTGCTTGGATGAACACATATTTTGTCGAAAACTCCAAACTCGAAATGATGGCATTGTTTCATGCCCATACACGCGTATGCGGGATTGGTCTATTAGCAGACCAGAGTAGACTTTAAGTTTCGATTGCTGTCCTGTTCTGTTAGTTGTTTGATCATTATATCTACTAACACCTCTCACCTGGGAGCGTTGTGTAAAGCAAGTTGTTTGGTAATGGTAGCTCAAGATATCCTTCGTTATCCTCTCGTATTCCAACACTCAATTGATGACTGGTGATTGTTACCATTAATGCCTCAAGGTGGTAAAACGAACACTTATGCAGGTAAATAGGTCTCGATTGCATCATTGATTGAATATTTGTATCTTTCATTTTATGAAATATTTTTTGACGCTGAGTTAGCACGATATCATGTTTTGCATTGAGGGTTACGATGCATTTGCCTCCACAAATGAGGTAGAAAATATAAAATCCACTTTTTTTAACCTGCAAAAATAAATCAAATGAACAAATGAATGTTTTTATCTGAGGGTAGTAACAATCGATCGGGAATCACGTCTGGGCTATTCGGGGGAAGTCACCAGTCACTTCCAAGGATACATACAAATCTTTCCCTTATGATTACTAAAATCGACAGTGTCACAGTAATCATTAATTAACAACAGATTGGTGTCATGAGCATCCAAGAACATAGACTTTTTCACCCAGATACAGAGGTCCAGTACAAAACAATCAGCGGATACCAATTTATGCATGGAAGAACGTTCAAGGCTCGACAATCGGAGGTGTAGGCTTGCTACTGTCACCACGGGCATCAGATAACTTACTGAAAGCGGAAAGGATATCTCCCCGTATAATGATAGCAGACTTTGGTGGAAATCCGAAATCTACCGTGATCGCCTGCTACAGCCCAACAAAACCGGTCTCCCCTGAAGCAGACATCACCCAATTCTATCACCAGCTGAATGATACGACCGACACAGTTCCAGCACATAATGTTCTCATTATCGCAGGGGACTTTAATGCCCAAATAGGACCATGAGATGCTCCCTTTACCTTCAACCATGTAACAAATCGTAATGGGGAAATGCTGGTCGACTACGCCGAAGAGTTCCAGCTGATGGTTGCAAACAACATCTTTATGAAGCCGCCTATGAAATTATGGACATTTCAACATCCGTCTGGAAGACTCTCACAAATAGACTACATTCTTAAAACATATATGTAGTTGTCTCTAGCTTAGCTTTTTATTCAGACGTTTCGATCTGCTCTCAGATCTTCTTCAGTGCAAAAAATGAATTCCGTTACAAAATCATGAATCCTAGCTGCAACAATCATATTTTAGACTATATTCTTGTTAGGAAGAAATGGAGAAACAGCATCAGAAACTGCCAGTCCTACTCGTCATTCAGTAGCATTGGCTTTAATCATCGTATCGTCTCCTGTACCACTTGCTTAAGCCTTGGGTCGTCTAAAAAGCCAGACTTAAACCCAATGAAAA